TGTAATCTAATTTGGGAACACTGCTGCATTAAAATATGACTAGGAAAATTCATTATAGAAATAGAAAAATAAATACTAGGACTAGCACCCAACTCTGCACACTGGAGCAATCCAGTTTGAGTAACCCAACATTTCCATAAACATTGTTAACTGCACTTATCTCCCATTCAGTTTGGTAGAAATGTCATTTTTCTGTGCACACAGCAGAGGGAATGGGTCTTCTTTATATGGTCCCTAGATATGGACATTTTTTGCTTCATGGAGTTAAATCAAGAGATATTTCATCAGAGCCTGAACCAAAACAAGGCAACTGTTTGAGGTTCTATATAGGGCTAATAAACACATTCCCTTTATAACAAATCACACAGTAAAACTGTTTTAATTAGGAGATCTCTGGTTAATTCTGAAGTTGGCCTCAAGCAAGACAGAGTTGCTGTTGATGCATTGTGGCTCTCTTGATTGCCCCAGTGTTCTCTCTAGATGGAGAGGCACCACCACTAAAGCAGCAAATCTGACTTACAGCTATTGCTGATTGGGTGTGCAGGGGCCTTGGATGGAGGTGGGTGAGTCAGTTTTCTCCAACTTCAGTTCCTATGTCTGTTGCAGCCCTTCCTGGAGAAAGAGGAAGTAGCTTCAGACACCCTAATCATCACCTGCCTGGATCATGATGATGTGTTTTAAGTGGGGATGCCTCTGAAGACCAACCAGAAGCTGCAGTTAATTTAAAATGCAATGGTCTGCTTATTAGCTTGGACACATTACACCTGTGCTGTGGGCCATGCCTTACCTTCTATTAGGCGTCCAGGTACAAGTCAAATAGCTACTTTTTGGCCTATTTGGGGCTTAAATATTTCCAGGATTGCATTCTCCAGCCTGGATCTACTTAGTCATTTCAGTTGTCATGGGAGAAGCTGTTGCTAATACCCTACTTCCACAAAGTCAGGGAGGGCTGATCCATAAAGGCACTCTTTTTCTGTGACAGTATTTGCTCTGTTGAACAGTTCCCTCTCAAGATCAGCCAGTGTGCTCATTCTGGAAAAAGATGATAGTTCCTCCAAATAGTTTTCGTGGTGTAAGCAGCTGCCTTAGGGATTTTTGCACTGTTGCTGGTTTTGTTTTTAACTTTGGGTTTGGAATGCTATTTATTACAGATTATTTATTTATACTTTTGAGTGTGTGTGTGTGCCTTTGAGTC